TTATACATTTATGTGTTTATATACCCTGGATCTTCAAACAGTACATAACGGCAGAAACGTTTGCGGGAGGCATGTTCCAGTGAAAAGACGACGTAATCAAAAAACATGCCGTTTTAGGGGTGCAAACATGTGCTGAAAATCAAAGGGACGGCGGAAAGACGCCGTCTTGGACGCCTCAAAAGGCCGTTGCTTCTTGGTGTCCACCGGTTTCCGCTGGCCACAACAAAAAAGCGCCGTCTTTGGAATAAGACGCCTGAACGGCCGTAATGGCATTTTTTCTTGAACAAGGCAATAATTTGTGCCGTTTGGCAAGATCGTGGACGGTTTGCTCTTCTTCCTTTTCCAGTCAGTGAACAGCAAAACCTTTGCAAATGGGTTACCCCCCTCAAATCCATGTCCATGTTCACATTCACACAACCGAACCAATCTATCAACAAATTTGATCGAACCTTCGGCCCCAATGTCTTCGAAAGATGGACGTCAGGTCTGCTGCCCACCGCCTTGATCGTCATCTCGTCCACGGCTTTGGCCTTGGCCTTGGTGGCTCCTCAATGGGATCCCCGTGCAGACGCTCGGACCTTGACATGGACGGAGGTGGAGAACGACACGGAAGGACAGGGTCCAGGACGGGCCAGGATGCCCAGGATGGGTTCTGATTTGTTTGTTTCTTTTGTTTTTGTTGATGCTGCGTTGTGTGTTTTGTTTGGCCAAAAGCACGAAACGTAAGCGGCGCTTCACACGCGCTTGCTACACCCCGCTTCACCGCCGGGTAAACCTCTTGCTGCAAGGAACGCTTCTTGCTCGTGGGCCTCTCTGGAACGTCGGTTGCCTCGGACGTCGTCGCGTTCGCGGGCGAATGAAGAAGCATCAGGCTGACCGAGAGGTGGCATCAGAACGGACAACTGCAGCGTACCTAAACAACCTGTCTCCCTAATATGTAGACTCTTGATTCATAAACCATCCCCAATTGAATGGAGAAAACCTTGTCATATGGCCAGCTTCTTCAGTTCGTGACCTTTTGAAGGTTGCTGTTCGTGACCCTTGAGAGGCTTAAGTGACCAATTAGTATATCAAGTACGGTCACACTGAAGAACCAGGTGGTTTAGCCGGGGTGGATAAACCATCAACAGTCTACTGCCAGGTCTACATTAGTGCTCCAGTGGTACCCAACTCGTTTCAGTTTGGCACGGTCGAGGGAAGGTGCCCTGCAAGGGAGCCCAGGTGCGAGGGTTTGTAGGCTGTTCGGTGCTTGGGCGCTTCTGAAGACCCAATACGCAGCTACTTGGTGGTCAAGCTCGCTAGTTACGTGGGTTTCTCCTGATCTACTCGGGTGACCTGACAGCTGATCTGAGTGGGTGGATCCTGGATCCTCCCTGGACCCGAAAGCCCTTCCGCAAAGCTGACCTCGGCGACTTGGTCGAAGTCTGGTCAAGCTGACACAGAAAACTGCCTTTTTTTAGGGATTGGATGCGGAGCTTTGTTGAGATTTCGTGGCAAATGCACCTTTGGGCTGAGAATTTTCGTTCAACTGCAGTGAGGGCTGAGCTGCATGCTGCAAACGGCGGAAGACGGAATCGGAGATTCACGGCACCAAGGTTTGCCAATGCAAACAACTGGTTGGTCTACGAACGTTCCTTGTCAGAACTAGAAAACAGCTGGCATAGGAGAAGACCAGCTTCTGCATATTACGATCTGCTCCCAAGCTTTCCTGTGAGTTTGTGGTTTATTGGAGTGCGGGTAACAAGCTTGATATGATATGATCATTTTGCTTAGAGAGATCCGACACAAATCCTTTTTGAGCCGGAAGTGCTCCCTGGAAGTTTCAAGATGTGGAGCTGTCCTTTTTTGCCCAGGTGATGACTACATGGCAACTGGGCATAGAAATTTGAGCAGCCATGAGATGACGCTATCTACCAGATGCCTTGTGAAGGCTTCCCTATCTGAACACTTTTGATCTCAGCAATCTTCTTATGAATCAAGTTAATGGCAGTTTTGGCCTAAACTGGCCAAGGATTCACATAGAGTATGTGCGCGTTTGCAAGACAAGTGAGTTGTTAAGTGTTGGTCTTCTCCGCATCTTGAAACCCAAGCTCAATCTGCAAAAGCCAGCAGCACGCGGCCTTCCCCCACAACGTGTTTATTGACATGCCCTGGAGCAACTCGCCCTTTGCCCCCTTTGCTACCAAAAGGACTGAATAGTCCACCAATTGGGACTGAATAATAGTCCATCAACGATCAAGAACCTGTATGTTCAGCCTCCTGATGGCCCGGAACAATTATAAGGTACTCATGTTGCTGCATCAGATACGCTTACGGTACCCTGGTGTCAAGCCCAGAAGCTGAGGACTTCTTCAGCAACGACGTCCATGACTACAACCCCTTCTTGCACTTGTGGTCCCTAGGAGTCGAGGAACAGCTCCTTGGCTTCGGATGTGTGTGGCTGGGCGACTATGGAGGGGGGCGACTGTAGACTGATGAATGAAAGAACCCCATCTGAGCCTTTGGAGTAAATGTGTTTACCAAGCATAGACCATCTGCACCCAGGGAGTTTCGGGTTGCACTCCGGACACATTATGTCATCACCCCACGGATTCCGTGGGGTTTCCCCACGGTCCATCAAGGAACGTCGCCTTCCCAGGGACCATCCGTTGGTCCGCTTAGTCGAGTGAGTCAGAGTGTACTGTCCCCTAGGGCTCCAGTCGTACCTCCTTAAAAGGTATGACTGGACCCGAACATGGCACCCACCCCAGTCCCACCGAAACGAAGGTCCGAAGGTCTGACTGGACCGCTTCGGGGTCATCCTTCGATTCTGCGTCTGGATGGGCGGTGGGGAGGTGAGGAGGTGGTCGAAGTCTGCGCAGCAGTAGCTGCAAAAGCTTCTTGTTATTAGTAGTAAGGCTCCTGGCCCACCTCCGTTTCGAAGATGGGCCAGGGGTGGGTGCCAGGGGGGTCGAATACCACCTCCTGAGGAGATGGGCCAGTAGCCCTAGGGATTAGTAAGGCAGGACGATCGGAGCTACGTTCGCTTCGCGTCCGATCGCTCCGTTCGGTGAAAACGATGCTTCAGACCATCCAACATTTACACTTCCTAGGGATCCAAGTGCCTCCTCAACAGGTACTTGGACCCTCCAAACCCACCCCAAACACCTTCTCAGAGGGTACTTGGATCCTTAGGGACTCCCTGCTGGTGTTTTTGGATTTTGTTCGTGACACTAGGGCCTTATGGAGCAGTCATGCCATTCGTTGGCTTGAAGAGGGTCCAGCAAAGTCATGCGGTTTGATGTGTGACACAATGCAAATCTATGACGCATGCAAGAGGCAGATACAGACAGATATATATATCTATATATAGTAAATAGATAGATAGATGACCTTCATCTAAAATCATATTGAGATGTGTTTGTTCCTACTTAGAATCATTTGAGATGACATTCTATCATTAATTGATCCATCCGGATCCATTGTTTTGTTTGTTGTGTTATTCATGTGCTTTCTTGTTTTCTTTCAGGTTCTACTTGGTGGTGCCGTGGCTGCTCTACGTTTGCCTCCACTCCTTGGATCGAGGCGTCGTCCAAGACGTGACATCCAAAAAAGACCGTATACGAGTCAAGCATGTGGTGCTTGGTTTTGTGCTGCATGTAAGAACGAGGGATGTCAGTTAACATGTAGTACGTGGTGCTTGGTTTTGTGCTGCAAGTATAGTGGGGATGTAATATATATATAGGGATGTATATAACACTTTTGCATTTGACTTTGGCTCAGTTGTGCGGACATGTCCCAAGATATCTGAAGAACTTCAGTAGTAATCTTCCCTTCCCTTGGCAATATGTCAAAACATTTATATACAACATGTGATTATATGTGTGTACATACCAGGACCTTCTCAGTGACGTTTTACAGGCCTAAGTGACCTCAAACTAAGGGATCAAAAGGTCACTGGGAAGATCCACATATATATATATATATAAACATTATATATATGCCGGAGGCGTTATATCTGCCGATTGAACCCTGCCTTTTCTGCTTTGCGTACTGCCAGGTACAGGCCCTCGTACCGCCATCTTTTGGATCCTCTCGGTCATCAGCATTGCCTTGGGATGGTGGGTCGAGGCGCCGCTTCACGCGTCGCCCGCCAAACCCTGCATCGGGTCCGGGATCTTCCGGATGATCTGCATCGGTCTCCGAAGTGGACGAAGTGGCTCTGAGAAGGTACGGCTGGACCCTCCAAACCTAGACATAACTCTCCAATCACCGTACCTGAGAAGGTACGACTGGATCCCTGGGGATTTGCTTAGGGTTATGTTTCTCCCCCAAACTGGGTGAATCCTCTTCTGGCGATTTGGGCGATGGTTCCTGGGAGCCGCAAATCTGAGAAGACCCTGTGGCCGCAAATCCAGTCTCACTTGGTGGACGCTCTGTTTGGATGAAGTACTGGATGCAAAGACAAGTCAGTGTTCCTGTCTATATAACAAAGCCATATGCAGTAGACAGGTGGGCAGATAGAAGCCTGAATAGATGAGTTAAGTGCAGCTCGGTGCAGGTGAACCAGTTTCAAGAAGATACAATGAAACATGTTTACGCCAGCAAACTTTGGCGTTGTTACTGGCCAGTTGCTTAGACCCAACTGTGAGTAAAACCTGCGTGACATCTTCCGTTATGTGGCACAGTGACACTCGGACGGACTCTTCGATTGAGAGTGCCAAAGCCTACCTGGACCATCCAATGGGTGTCCAATGACATCTCTAAGTGGATATCTCTAAGTAGTGTCCAGCCAGGACACCCCTTGGATGGTCCTGGAATGCTTGTCCGACATCGCAGCTCCATTTCATGGATGTACCGGCACCTCCGCCTCAAACCAGAACACCCCGACCTCCCCGACCTCTAAACCCGCTGTCCACCGGTGTCCAGCTCCCGCTGTCCCGCAACTCTTTGGGCTCAGAGGACGGTTCTTCCCGCCGCCATCGTTCCGTCTTCGTTGAGGGGCGGTTTCAGAGTGGAGGATGCTGGAGACCTGGTTTGAGAAGATGCCGGTGTTCTCCGGGGCTCCGAAACCTCCCACATCCGAAAAGAAGGTCTACCGAGGTGGGCCCTCAAAACCCACCCATCCCTGGCCCACCGAACCGAGGAGGTGGGCCAGGAGCCCTGGGGTTGATATCTTTTGTTTGGTAGTATAGGACAAAGATGGACACAGGTACTGTATCAATATGTGTAAGACTAATTCTTGTTCAAAAGGGCCAGCTAACATGCAACAAGTAAGAACAGTTCGTGGGTGCATGGTCCACACCGGATCGGTTGGAAGCGTTGCACGGCAAGCGGAGTCCAAGTCCGAGTCCCATTCGGTCTGAGTGGAGTGCATTCCGTGAACAGAGGAAGCCATACACTCCATGGGACTGCCAAGTCGGACTGATCAGTTGACCCCCGACTTCAACCACTCCTGGCCCTTTTGGCACAGAATGGCAGTTCCAGACCGGTCGCGTTGGGGGGAAGCCAACAGATGCCAACACACCGGTGTTCCTCGTCTTCGTTGCGAAGTCGGAACCCGCCTCCCGATCGGCTGCCGAAGTCGGCCGGATCGAAGGGGGGCCGAGGATCGGATGGGGCGGCCGTTCACCACTGTCTGACGCATGGAATCATAAAGCCCGGATGGATTCTGGCAGCATTTCCCAGACACGACTAATGGGACTGCCATAGGACTGCCGATCAGTTGGGGTGGTTTGAGGGGTCAATGTAGGTATATATGGCATACATGGAGTGTCTGGGTTTGTATGCATTTGTCTGCATATCCTTCGAGTTCAGAACGCAGAAGCCATCCCAGGTCTGGGCAGTTCTTTGGCTTCCGTTATGTCTTGCCTTGAGCCAAAGCAGTGAAGAGAGCTGCCCTTTGGCCGATGGCTCTTGTCAGCCTGCCAAATCAAGTCCGCTCCTCAGACGTCGACGCCGGGAGCGGTTCCACTCACTAGTCGCGGGTGGGAGGGGGTCAGGGACTGCCAGAGGAGGACGAACTCCAGTGTTGGCAGACCGGATCAGGGACCTGTTGGGATGGTGCATGATGGTGCAAAGGGGGAATCATTAGGGGCCGATACACAAACCGGTGGAGTCTTAGCGGATGACCATCACAACGTGGCACCACTGCACCACTGCACTCCGTAAGGATTGGTTCGGTCATGATGGTATGGCATGGCCCGTACGGATGAACCATCTTTCAAATACCAAGCAATACCAAGCAGGTGGTGCCAACCACGTGGATGATTTGGCAGAGTAAAGTGGGTGATCCCCGGTCTTCCAGCGACCGAACATGAAACCGCGCGCAAACTCGCGCGCCCGAACATGAAAACTGAAGCTGGATCGTGGCGTGTTCTCGTTTGGCTGTATATATATACACAATTATACATATGGCTCACCGGATGCAAAGAATTGACTGGGTTTTGCATGCATTAGATACACAATAAGATATTATATTATCAGGGATGTAAATTGACTGACCGTGTCAAGGTGGATTCTGAAATACGACCAGAAATCAACACTTAATTCATGGAACCCTCATTGTTCTTGTTCGATGGAACAAGTCATAACAATGGCCACACTCGACTTTTCATGCTTTTCCCCCTGACTGCATCACAGCCATGCCCTGTACATGCCAAACTCACAGGCCTGGCTGGTATGGTATGGCCTTATGTTCCGACCCAAGGCTCTTCAGGTCGTGATTGACCCGAAGACCCAACAGGTTCTTTCGCATCGAGCCATGTTCTGAGCATCGACTCACGCGTGGTATAGCTCGAACTCCTCCTGATCCTGCGCTGAGGTAGTTCAGTGCTCCCAACATGTGAAGAAGATATTGAGCTCAAGGACTTGGTCGAGAAGTCCAAGTTGCTTTGCAATCCTCGGCACGTGCCAGAGAACCTGCGAGCACCCAAGAAGATCTCGGGTGTCATGCCTGAAAAGCCGATGTTTTCCTGCAAACAGATTCAGTACCAGCACCCAAAAAGAGACCATCATGGGCCCTCCTGACTCCCTGACCAGGTGTTTTCCATTGACCATCTCTTTGGGTGGTGCTTGTATGTGTTGGTAGGTCCTGATTTTACTAGCTCAACTTCTTGGACTCATGAAGGCCCATCAAGTCCTGCCCTGCCCTGCAGAATCAGATCCTGCAGGCCTCTACTGGTTGAAAGGGCTTCCTTTGCCTGATGTGGCGGCCTGCTTCAGTCCCTTGGGCCGCAGTACGTAGCTCTGAGAGGAGCGTGCACGTAGAGCGTAGCACCAGCAGTCCGATCTCTCAAGTCTCTCAAGAGTGGCGTGATTCGCCTAAGCCGCTTGATGAATAGAACCCCCCAACAGTTGGATTGCAAAGCCCCTTCAATAGGGAGGTTGAAACATGTGATCAAGAAGTCTACATTAGGTTTCCTTCACTCGTCCGTTTTGTTGTTCTTCTATAGCCAAAGCATGCAGTGTCCTCGCTGCCACAGTGAAAGGGTGGATCCTCTTTACAGTGCGAGGCGCGTGTTTGGTGGCTCGCTTCGCAGGTACGGGTGAATGGAATCAGGACACCTTGACGCTAAAGCTTACAACTTGGCGGGACTTTTACTTTAAGAATGACTTTGCTGGACGAAGCCTGGCTGGAGCTCTCTATGAAGCTTCGTTTGCATATTTGGTGAAGTTCAAGGACGGAAAGGAAGTTGGTGAGTATGAGGTATGGGCAATAGAATAGGACATAATTGTCATGATATATCATGATATATCATGAATTAGTAAACAATAGTATATACTTGATGCTGGTCACATCAATTATTCAAAGACAGTCAACATGTTACATAGGTGTATGCAAGCGGCATACTACATATTAATTCAGATCTTCAAGAGAAGAATTGCCTGTTTCACACTGGCGTGAAGCAACCAAGTCCACTCAGAGAATTGTGTGTTTAGATGATTTTCCTGTTGTGGGCGATTGCATCGTGGCGCCCAAACCATACAATCACAGAACGATGAAACAAACTGGTTCCCATGCACTATATAACCCAGACATACCCAGACACTCCATGTATGCCATATATGCCTACATTGGGGTGGTTTTGGTGGTCAATGTAGGCATATCTATATATGGCATACATGGAGTGTCTGGGTAATGAAAAAGGACATGTCCGTTAGGTTGTTGCTGATTTCTGAGGATTACTTCACTTGTTTGTCATGAAATCACTTCGCTTTGTTGGTATTGTGGTTCGCAATTGTTATTGGACTTTCAGTACACACGTTTGAGGGGGAGCCACTTGTCCACTTGCCCTCTGCTCAGTCCCAGAACCAAATCCATGGATACCCATTTTTGAGACCGGAGACTGGAGCCCCAACCAATAGGTGTTAGAGTCTATACTTCCCTTTTTTAGGCGGTCTAGTCGAACTGTGAGGTGTCCCCATTGATATAAACACACCCATTTGGTTGGAAAGCATCCCCTCCAGGCGCATTTCCCGGGTTTAGGGGGTGTCATTCTTTCTTTTCAATGTAAGTATTTGATTTTTGGTGATTTGGGGTATCTCATCTCAGGGGGGTTCTGAACAAACCGCTCCCCGCACCTTCTACTCCCCCTCACCACGGGGCTATGTGGGGCTCCCAGCACTCCCTCCCAAGTCGGGCGGGGCGTGCGGTCCCTAAACCCTAAACCCTGCACGCAGGATGATACACTCTCAGAGGCGGACATTACTCCCACCAGCTCCTCACGTTTGTGGTCACCTCTGACGACCGCGTTTGGAGCGATCAGCGTCCCAGCCAGAGCAGACATGCGGTTTCAAGCCATTAGGACCTGGGTGCTCATGGAATATCCGTGTAGTGATATAGTAGTCGAAATGGTTTCCTACCTGGAGCCTCCAAAGTCCAATAAATATTGAACTTCTGGAACTTTTGTACTATTGGTACGATTTGAACGGTTTGGAAGAAATCTCTACGAAATCTACCAAAACTGCACGACTTGTCCCACCTTCCCACATTCACGCCTCCAAGCAGCAGCCATCACAAGACTCTTTGCTTTTACCCTTCCCAGGCTAGGTCCGAGAGCTGTTTGAATTGAGTCTGGTACTGTCCCAGACATTTCTCTAATGTACGCAAGGTTTGCGTCAAAGGATGGCAAGAGCGGGCTGTTTGGCTTACTCTGCCAATGTAATCTTCATCATGCCAAGCTGCCATGCCTGACAGAAATAGTCATATCACATCTCATCCCTAGACATCTTGTTGTGCCAAATTAAATACAACACCTTGAGGAAAAAGTATACATGCATGACTAGTGTTGCCTAGGAACAGCAGGGGTTCAAGGACACAGGTTCCTTGATCTCATCAACCAAGTGCGTACCCAAGTGATACTTAGGGCGATAGCGATATAGCTTGTAGCCCCTGTTGTAGGATGCCGTGGCAAGATGAGCAAAGGTCACCTGGGCAACATAAGGTTTGGTTTATTTATAGTGTTTGACTCAAACGTTCAATTAGCAGTTCTTCAAGTTCCTTACCATCAAGGTACCATTCCAAGTCCAAGGTACATTCATTTCACGACCAGCCATCCCAGCTGCTTTACAAGCATCACCCATGAGCCAAACTCCATTGCTCCTTCAAGTGTCATAGTACAGAAGTTCCAGAAGTTCAAGATTTATTGTAACTTTGGAGGCTCCAGGTCAATATTTTATAAATACATGCATGCATGGACAATATTCCCCTCAAGGCAAAACAACTGGAAGGGTCAGTCCTGCAGATGCGGAAAAAGCGATTGCAAGATCGAAGAAGATATGCGCACATTTGGTAGAGCTCATCCGAACGATCCACCTCCAGGGTACACTATACAGAGGCATGTTGACTGAATCCACCATTTTTCACAGTGCATGGAGGCAAATTCAATATGGCCACAGTCAAGCAATGGCCTCACTGTCACATTGGAGATCATCCTCCAACCAAGAAATGACCAGGCCAGTGTCGAAAGCTTTGCCGCCGAGGGATGTGGGCCAGTCACTGTTCCTGAGGAATGCCATGGAAGGGCAGAAGGGAAACCAGGGTCATTACACCTCAAAGATGCATAAAGAGTGAACCTTTGCTAGCTTAGGTTAGCGTCGATGCCATATCCAAGGATAGAATTGAAAACTCTTGGATTGAAGTGCACTTGGAATTGTGACGGCACCATTCATCAAAGCGCTGGTAAGCATGTTCCAATCTGTGTTTCAATCTTCCAACCCCAAAGTGCCCCAGCTTGCTCAAGAGAACAATGGAGCTAGCACCAACATCCAGCCCATACCCAAGGTGGAAAACATGGCAGTAGTCCAGGCGAACATAGTATGGTTCATGGCATCCAGGCACAACCAAAAGCTGGCATCCATCACGGAAGGGTGACGGGCCTGGACCCAGTTGCCTCCACTCCGCTGATGCTGTAGGGTTTTCCCAGTCCTGCACCAAAAAATAGTCTCATGAACTCCCAATTCAAGTACTTGCTTTTTCACACAAACAACCTCAGAAAAAATGACCAGTCCGTACTTAGGCAGCGATGACAAAGCCTCTTGCAGTTGAAGCCGGTACTCAAATGAAACGCCTCATAGATGGCAAGATGTCATGTCAACTATCAAATCACCAACCAACAGCAGTCAAAGCATTGTTTCCAACAGTTCTAATTCCACCAAACCACTTTTCGGAGCCACACCCAATCACCTTTCACTCCAAGGCATACCATCCGTAGGCGAACTCCACCCAGATCCTGAGAGGGCAGGGGTGAGACATAGGAGTGGAAATATGTTCTTCATTCAGCAAGCTGGTGTATGACCAATTGATTGCACGCATACCTGTTCAACCCTTTAACTCCATCTAGGCACACAAATATCATCCTCATATGCAGAAAGTGCATCCCTAGCAAACTCTGCTAGCAGGTCATCGACCGTGGAACCACCATCGTAGAGGCTGGAGCAAATGGCCGAGAAGAGAAATCGGGTGGTGAAGGAATGCCTGGGCCCAGATTTTTTATTCATACGGTCAGCTTATTTGTGCATGCTGGTGTATACATGAACAAAACCAAAACTTCTATCACAGCTAAGTTGCGTAGAGTCATTGCACACATCTACCCCATGAAATGATATAAGTGGCTGCCAGGCTATGACCATGAAAGGTCTACGAAGCAACCCTCGACCCTCATCTCCATGTAGGAGGAATGGCACACAACCCGACAAGTCATAGGACGAAGTGAACAATGGATGTGTGGCATCCACGCAGCGGTAAGTATCCCAAAAGTTCTTGAACAAGCACTGCCACTGTTGAACTTCTTTTGCATGAAAGCCACCAAGTATCATTTGGGGCTTGGATGAAATAAAGTATTTCACCCAACTGGAGAGCTTGAGGATAGGCCACCAAACCTTGAAACGCCTCAATGGCCGTCTTCTTTTGATATGGACTGAGCACACATCAATAGGGATTGGAACTAGCAATCCCTTCTTCCGGTGCAGCAAGCGATGCAGGTCTCTGCAAGCATTTCCAGGTGTTCGGTTTACCCGGGCAACTTGATGCAAAAGATCCTGTGTACCTAGCCAACAGGACTCCTAAACCACACATATCAACTCATCTCTTCCAAAAAAATAGTGGGTATCCTGCCTAAGTTTAATCAAGTCACCTTTGTTTTTCCGCAAACGGCATACCATAGAAGCAACTTTCCCAGTTCTGAACGCTGACTCTGCCTCACAAAACTAGTGAACCCCTGCATCAAAACAAACCACCACAGGCAGCAATTGAATGTCAAGCAGCCCCTGACAGGTAGTCAGCAATGATTTCTTCAGCTAACTCTGTAGCTGCCCCATCATCACTGCTATCATCCTGGTGGCCTACCAGAGATCAAAATGCACATGTATGCATATGGTATGTCAGACATGCATCTATATATATATATACATGCCATGGGTTCAATGTGCATGCCTCGCAAAAGGCCCGCAGATCCAGCCCCACCTGGCTTGGTTGCGTTAAAGTGTTTCTTGCACTGGCTGTACAGTGTCACAAATGTCACAAAGGATAGCCAAGCACTTGAGGTTTAGAACATTGAAGGCATGGTCCTTTTCCAACACTTCAGACTTCCAGGTTGCACTAAACACTTATGTGGCAACGACGGGTTGCACACAGATAGTACAACTGCGCTAAGCAAGCAAAATGAACCTTGCTAATGCCATGGCCAGGAAACAACAAACGTACATCAATGATATAAGAAAGGCAAACAATGCAAAACATGCACACATGATTTTCTTTGAATAAAGCCTACAAGCAACAACTGGCCATGAACATATCCCATCAAAATTTGCTACCTCTACGAGCATCATCAAACATCAAATCATCGAATCACTTCCGCGAACCCTTCTTTTTTGCAGAGGCTGCCTTTGCCTTTGTTTTCCCTTTGACCGCCTTTGGTTTTCGGGGGGGTACCTTCGATCGAGGCTCCTCCTCCTCCTCCTCTTGTTCACATCCAGCAGGACTCTCACCCTCATCATCACCATCATCCGCTGTAGACACAGCCCTACCTGCGGCCTTAGCTTTTGCTTTGGCCTTCCCCTTCGGAGAAACTTTGGGCTTGGCTGCAGGTTTGGGTTCAGCCTTGGGTTTCACAGACCTGGCAACCGATAGGGCATGGAGCATTGCACATCAACGCGTACCATATCACTAAAGCAAAACAAAGCTAGCACGTGCACCTGCAGCGAGTAATGATATGGTTCAAAGAACAATCATCCTTGATCAACTGCACCAAAGCGGAGCGAAGTGACTTCTTGCTCCCCCTGAGCAGCACTTAGGATGTTCGGGGCCTATTGGTTTATTCACTCGACACCTAAAGCATGACTAAGGTTAAGACACATCCGGTTCGTCATCCATGGACAAAGCATCAGACTCCAGTGCGACAAGTACTTGGTATTGCTTTTTGAAGTCCTGCAGCTTTTGCTCCAACTCCACAAGGATCCTGAGCTGTCGCAGAACAAATAGTAGATTCTTTGCGATCATGTAGCATCCAATGTTTTGCTAACAAACTGAATAGCACAAACGAGATTCGTGTTGGATCTGTCCGTATTGTAGGTAGTAATCTTCTCCTAGCAGGCAGGGCTCCCATGTTATATTGGACTGAAGAAGAGCTAAACCCACCTTCAAATCCTCAGCTTTCATGATCTTTTTCGTGGCAATCTCCAAGAATTGGCGGAGTACACCTCACACATGTGCATATGATTTCAGTAAGCAAAAACTGTAATACTTTGCCTGGTGCTTCTGTCAGTGTGCATTCTTTTAATGGCCAAGTTACTGTATGGATCAGTACCTTGCTGCAGAATTGGGAAAACCAATTTCCCTGAACCACCGCCAACAATGCGAGACGCAGCCAGCGCAGTGTTTTGGGTATTGGCACCCCTCCTGGGTCAACACAAAAACACTATGAGTCACGTACATGTTGCAAAATGTTTCCAGCTCTCTAGGCCCCAGTCAGTCCATGTGTTTGGCTTGCCCCCATAGCACCAGAACCGAGCAAGAGCATGTGTCCATCCTGCAGAGCAGTGGCCACAGTTTAGTTTTTATTCGGAAAGGTAGGCTACAGCAGGCCTGCATTTCAAAGTCCATTGATGCCTCTTGCCTGGTTCGCTGGATGTCACTAGAACTGAAAGACTCTTTGGTGGGAATCTTGTACTCTGTCTCTCCATGGATCTCATTCTGTCTCACATAGCCCTTTTGCGTGGCCCACGCAATCGCATTCTTGACCATTTGCCTAGGCCAAAAACAAATCT